TGGAGATGGCAAGGTTGAGCTTCAGAGGTCTTAGTCGGGGTCGGTCGGACATTTGTAGATACCGCAGATCTTCCAGATGGTCGAGGAAGGCGATTCTAAGTTCTTCTTATATATATATATATATATATATATATATATAACAGCTTCTCAGAGAGAGAAAAAATATTATATTCACGAGCTCATCTATACTCTCTTCTGATTTCGTCTTTATTCTCAATTGAGAAGAGAAGCTAACCTCTTCCCCTTCTGTCCTGATCGTTTTTGAGGGACTAAATTAGTTACCATGTCATCGCCAAAGCTTTGAAGAATTTCGCCCGATCCAAATGATCAATTTCTTTAAAGGGTTAAATTAGATCATGTCATTTGAAGTTTCAAATCTCACCATGAGGTTATGAAACCAATAGCCGGAAGTAACTTGGATTCTGGTGATGGAACGGAGATCGGATCGAACAAGGGTATCCGGCGTCGGTGCTGTCAAACTGGGTCCATCCAGCAATTTATCTATCATCTTCGTGAACACGTACCTGCATGGAAAATATATACTTCCAAAAAACTTTTGCCTGTTGCAGTTCCATGAGAATATGTCAGGAAAAAATTTAATTTCGATGTATTTGTACGTCCGTGAATGAAAAAAGCTCACCCAGGGCCGACGAGATGGACGTGAATCCCTTTGTCTTTGTACTCGTAGGCAAGACTCCGAGAAAAGCTGTCCACAAACGCCTAGAATGAAAAAGAAATGAGTCATAGCTTTCCTGCATTTTATCTTGAAACTTTATATAAAATATTAGTGAATTATTTAATGCAACGTCGGGAACACGGGCCCGAATCCCTGTGAAGTTTGTCCGAAGTCGTGCCAACTTTTCAGCTTTTTTTCAGCACCCCTGACTTGCTCATGCAATGCCCATTTAGAGGTGAGTGAAAGGTGCTTAGAGGTGGATCATCCCGCCTCAGGTGAGGTGATTACCTCAGCTCGACCGGCTCAGAATGCAATGAACCTCTCAAATTTAACTTCTGAAGGTGCCGTTGGATCCTGCTGATAGTTGACAGAGAGGTTCATGAGTCAAACAGGATTTTTTTTGCTTACGCTAGATGGCGCTGTATCTCGATAGAGGGCACTGTTTTTGACTGGATGACCGAGAGTGAAAAAAAAAGCTCCACCTTTTTCAAAGGCGAGAATGTATGAATCGTGCATTTAAATAAAAAAATAATAAAAAGATTCATACTCTTGATATTGGACATATAGGAGGTGTTGAGAAGATTGTCTCGCTTTTTTTCTGAACTATTTTCTGAGTCATTGTTCCGTTACAGCTTACAGGTGGACCATTTCACCTTTTTTAAAATCGCCTTCTGACATCCAGTGAACAAAAGCGTCATCTATTGGCATACAACGCCATATTGCGTAAGTGAAATAAAACTCTTAGACTCATGAACCTCTCTGTCAAGTATCAGCTGAATCCAACTGTTCCTTGAAAAGTTAAAGTTAAAAATTTCATTGAATTCTGAGAGTACAGAATACGAGCACAGGTAATCACCTCACCTGAGGTGGGATGATCCACCTCTAAGCACCTTTAATTCACCTCTAAATGGGCATAGCACGACTTAGCCATAGTTGTTGAAAAAAAAACTGACAAGCGTTTCAACACCTTGAACCTGTCAAATATTGATCGCTTATCGAATAAAATTTTTTTTCTGAATTTGTGAAACTGTTTCTCCCATAGAAAACGGTGGAGCGTTCTTTTTTTTAAACCACCCTATACATACTTATTATATATATCAAAGGAAAATATCTTTTTCAGCGTCCTCAATGGTTCGCGCGTCCACGTCGCGAGGATGGACCCCAGTGATGCGGAATGCCGTAATATCTCAGGTCCAACCAAGTTACCCAAGTAACACAGTATATTGATGAAACGTTTTCGAAATGTTGCCTATGTTGCTCTA